GAAGTGAATCAATGGCATATACTGAGCACCTCGTTCAGTAGGCCTTGCTCCTCTGACACAAACAGAGGAAATACAGTGAAGCAAGGCTGCTTGGGAGAGTAGTCTGCTTTAATAGGCTAAGCTATTTATTTAATTTGTCTAACAGACTGAATTAAATAAAAACAATGAACTTAAAAGCCATTAATCAGCTAACACCCTCCCACATGAAATATGTTAACAGGCTTTCAGAGTTGCATTTATCCAAGTACTGGCACGGAATGCCTTGCTGTTCCATTGATAAGTATTTCCTTTAGACAGCACTTCATTCCACAGAAATCCCAAATGCTCTCTGGACACTACGGATAGTAGAACACAGTTCATATTTTAGTTGTCCCAATCTATCACAGCAGGTAGTAGTGTGGTAAGAAGGCCCATTCTAATACCTTGACCATTATTGAGGGCACCCCAAGCAAAATATGAACATAGTCACACTACTCCACCCCCATGCTGGCCACTGAGCTCCTAAAGCTGGTGGTTCAATCCAGAACCACAACAGAGTTCCCACCTCCTCTATGAGCTGAGCAAATCAGCCCTACCGCTAACACCCCCAGTTGATACTCATCAAATCTTCTGTACCATTCTACAAATCTTGTCAGGGCTGGGCAAGAAACTAGCAGCTCAAGCCTAATAATAAAGAGCCAGAGAACAAGCCAAGAGTCAAGATCAAAGGGAACACATAAGCACAACAGAACTCGGGTTGTCTTGTTATTTAAGCAAAGTGCCACTGAGACAGGAAGCCCTTGAAAAACTGCACTCATGCAGCTCACCATCTGGAGCAGTGGTCAGCAACTCCTAACAATACAGAACCCAGTGTTCACTGGATTCTGTTTCCATAGATTATTTGTGGCCTGGTGCTTCCTTCCTTCCATAAAGCTTCAAGCCTTCATTTGCTTCTCCTCTTGTTCCTAAGCAGCAGAAGCACAAGTTTCCAAGCAGTACTAGGATGGATGGATCCCTGTCATCTCCTGAAGTACAATAACTATCCTAAGCAGCCACATGATGGATGACCAACATTGTGACTACCATTGCCGCATGTAGTTACAATAATAACAAAGAATAGCCAATAGCCAGGAATATGTTAGAGACGCCATTACAACTTTAAGAGTCAATTGCTCATCTCTGATGAAGAATGATAACTGTAAATTGTTTAATATGTAAGGAACAGAACATACCACACCAGTGGGCTGAAAGTGGAGGGTGGAAGGAAGGAAACCATGGGAAATGGATGCTTAATGTTACATTTCCTGTATCACCAACTGTATCATTGGGAAGCAGGGTGGGAGTGTCTCTGTTTCAAAGATCTTTTAAAATCTCCCCCCCCCCCCATTATTTTATTAGAAAATTTAACAAGGAAAAGGACTCATTGTTTCCTTAAGTGACACATCCTCTGAGAAGGGTCAAAGGAACCCTAACAGCTCAGAGGAGGGCTAGGGCAACAATTTTTAAAAAATCTTCAGTGTAGCAATCCTAGATTAATAACATGCTCTTTTTGGGGCACGAGGCTGTTAATCATCCAGAGCAGCTCCTTAGAGAGGCATCCGATTCTAACTAAATGCCATTAGAAAATCGGGAACTCACTAGCAGGATTGCCTGATGGTTCACTGCACTAAATCCATGTTTTTCAATATTCAGATCTCTTCAAGTTTGAACTTCCAACCGTTTGGACCCTGTCCTATGTTTAACTATGTCTTCCCAGACTAATAGCTAACTGAATTGTTATAATTTACCCATGGATCTTACGTCAAAACCTTTAAAATATGTTTTATGGGTAGCCAGCCAACAACTGAAAAGCAGCAATTTCTGCAAACCAGCACTCTCTGAGCTGACAAATTTAATAGTTCAAATCAAGCTACATATTGTAGTGCTCTCTCTCACACACACATTCAGAATCTGAAATCTTAAGAATAACATTTTGCATTCACTGTTTCTACAAACCAGCATAGATGCGCAGGGACGCATGTAAGTGCAGAGGAAATAGTCTGCTGAACACTCAGAAAGTAGACACCTCAGTGGTCATGGAATAGGTGGAACTCTGTTCATTTGCTTTTCCTTACCCTTCTCCAGGTAATCTTCAGGTTAGATATGATCTTCAGTTCCTCCACTATTTCAAACCCTTTCGAAGAATTTTAAAGCCCAAACATTACCATCCCAGCACAACCCGGTTGCCCATCTCTGGCAACAGCATGAAAATATTTCCAATATCTTGGCATCATTTAAGCTCTAGGACACTGCATGCCAGTACCATCTTGGAGGTACTAAAGGAGGGGAAGAACGCTGAAGATAATGAGAACTGCAAGAACCATAGACAAATGGTCCAAAAATATGCAGTCCATAAACTACGGTAAGTCTCTTATTCAGCACCTATAGGCAGAGCCATCAGCCTGCTTCCTGATCAGGCTTCTGTGAGTGTTCACAGAAATCGGAATAAATTACCTAACGTTTTTATTCAAAGTACATGAATTTGTGCTTCCCTTAAATCTGATTCACACACCCCTTCCCATTAAGGAGGGAGCACAGATTATACAATGCCTTAGCTTTACTAAGCAACTCTGGTGGTGGGATTGATGAATACCGCTGTAGAACTGATAAGCTACCCAAGACAGGAGATTTGAGCGCAAGGTAACAAAGGCAAACAGAAGGAAATTCTTGACCCCCTTCTCCTGCACCCTCAGAAACACTTGTGATCACGTGTTCGTAGTGCCTCAGGGTCCCCGGGAAACTGGAGCAGAGGAGATTGCTCCAAGATGCTGATGTAACCAGACATGCATGTTGAGGCGAAAGACAGCAGTGCTGACAGCACCAATCTGGCATATAATAATCAGTGGCAGCTCCCACACGGCTTTCAAAACAGGTTTTCCCTCTCTCCCTCTTCCATAATAGGAAGGCAAGGAAAGAAAGGTGGGACGAAAGGGCAGGAGCCCGGCGGAAGCCTCTCAAAAGTGATTATTTCCTTTGTTGTTCCAAGCATACCACAATGTGAAAATTGCCTGTATGCCACTGTCATCATTATAACACCAAGCTGTGCTCTTTCTACATCAGGTAGCCAAGATGGTTCCCTGCAGATGTTGTTGGACTACAACTCCCATCATCCCTAACCACAGTCTGTGCTGGCTGAAATTGATGAAGTTATAATCCAACAAAATCAAGAGGGCACCTCTTTGGCATCCCTTGTTCTACACAGTATCAGCAGTTTTGTTGTGGTTTTAATTCTACCTCATGTTAACCACCCGTGGCATGTACATCTACCTATATTTGCCTTTCATCTTCAGCCTTCTAGCCAATCATAAAGTAATAGACTAAAGCACAACACAAAGTCATTTCCAATCTCCTCTCTATTTGCACTGAAGGACTGAACAATTGTAAATACCATGGAGGTCTGGAGAGAGAGGCATCCAGTGCCAGTTCCAGGTTTTGCAGGTTCCTTGGGAAAGAGGCCTTCAGTAAGACTCCTCCCTGAGTGGACCTTTCTCTTCAGCACTACAAATGTCCTCTTCCCTGGGGATCAATTTGCACCACTACCCAGGAGATGGAAAGGCAAATGGAACCTACTGCTCCTTCCCCTTGATCCTGCCATTCTTCATACAGAGTGCAGGTCAATCGGTATCAAAGAGGAAATGGAGCAAGACCATAGGACAGTAGTGGACCTCATGCTGGGATGTGGGTTTTGGCAGGTGCCCAATGATACCAACTTCTGATTCTAACACTGCAGGCAACCCTAACAGCAAATCACAATTTTGTCACCTGAATGTGAAATGAGACATCTCAAATTTGATACAAAAAGTAAGAGAGAGAGAGAGCTGTATTATTGCAATATTTGGAAGCAGCTTTTTAAAAAAATAAAAATCATTAAATGGAAAATAAAAAAGGGAGAGGTAATGCCCTGATTATTACACACAAACAACTTTTTCAAATGAAGTCGAAAGAAGTTTATATAACAGAGCATTCCTTCCTCCTCTCCATCTCTCTTATAAAGCGTTACATCATCTTCTGCAAGTCTTTAAAGCCAATAGCTTAGCTTCCTACAATCTTCATTTTGTGACAGCACAACGGACAGAAAACGTGCAAAACTACAAAGCCCTCATCACTTGAGTATTAAATCATACGTAAGGCAAATATCTCCAAGAAGCTCTACCAGCAATCCCCAGTCTGCAACATTCAAAAAGCTGTCAAAGAATCAAGAACTGATCAATAAATTCCCTTTATATGCCCACAACAGGTTTTCTCTGCCTTTTCCCAATTGTGTTTGGTTATGGACTAGATAAGCGCTGGTCCTGTCAACTCCTAAATGGCCAACTTTTACCCCATTCCCATATAAGAGGAGACTACATAAGCATACCAGACAGCAGACTGCAAAACCTTTGCCACAGATTCCTTTGTATGCCACGAGCATCCACCCCTAACATGGGTGCACAGTTCAAAGCAATTTTTCCTGCACTTACAGGCTGCATCAGTGCAATAGAGGGATCTTTCACAGCAATATTTGAAGGCCTGTTTACGGAGAAAGTCTCTGCTAACTTGCTTCACACTAAGATTTGTTTACTAGATCAAGAGGCTCTGGATTAACAAGGGCTCCCCGCCTCCACTTTCAGTATAACTGGCCATGAAAACAATTTCAAAGAAAAACATTTTGAATAGGTAAAACTATGTGGGCTTTACCATTCATAGCAAGTATAGGCTACCCAACACAGTCGGTGTAATTGCCTTCTTGTGCAAATATACACCAGAGGAGGTTGTCAATACATACATTAGTAACTGTGGAAAGCTGAAATCATGTAAATAAGCGCTCAAAATCCAAACATGGAGATAACAAAGGGAGAGAGAATGGGATTTGCATACCAAGGTGTATGCAGCTATGAAGCATCACCATTTAGGCACATAGATTTCTCTTCTTCATATACATTGCAAACTTGCCCAGCTAAATGGTTCATGATAAATCAGGCAAACCTGGAGAGCTTCTTTACCGTTATAGACAATTGTCATTCGGGGTGTGGCATCCAAATCTACAGCAGAGCGTCTGGAGGGATATCCCATTGTAGCAACCACAAAGAGAACCATCTGATAAAGGGGTACATTCCTTCTCATTCTTCCTGGTTGACAAAGGCTGCTGCCCACTGGGCAACACAGCCCTTTTCTACAAGAAAACCTTGAGATGGTTGGAGAACCTTCCTGCTGAGTTGGTGAGTGTCACTGGAGGCCACAGAGGGATTCCTGAAATGCAAAATAGAAGCTTTTAAAAAACAATAATTGTAATAATAAATTACTTCTTATTAGTGCTAAAAGAATTCATAGCTCATAAAATTTATCCCCAAGATTTACCACTAACTCAAGCCTTCTTCGTGTGTTGCTCACTTGTAAATGGAAGTGTGGCAAAAAGGTCTGCAAAGCCCTCAAAATCACATTGCTCCTCCTGCTTCCACAGTCTCTGGTGCTATTGGTGCTCTGGTGCTCTGAGCATTTGGATCTGCCATTTACCAAGCTATATATATTGTGTATGCTTCTTCCTTTAGATGCTATTGTTGTTACATTTTAAAAAAAAAAAATAACCTCAACTATCCAAAACGATAAAGACAAACCAAACATGTAGATGTATCAGAATCTGCTTAACCACAACAATCTAGGTTCTCTGGTTTTGCCTTTTAAGCATTCCCAGAACTTGGAAGACACAAAATAAAGCTGGTTGCTTTTGCTTGGCTACCCACCATCTCTTAAGTTTGGTTTCTACTGCCCACCATTATTACTGCATGTTGACTTGTGCCCCAAGCCTCCCACTGAACTCTATATCCCCTTCATCCTTCCACTCCTTTTTAGCACTACCATTCCCAATTCTGCACCTTTAATATTTGCCACAGAACTCTCTTTTTTTTTTTAGTCTATATTTCAGATTTCCCTTCTGCTTCATTTCAGGCAATCAACCGCCAATTGCCAGCTAATGTGTCGCATATGGGAAATTGTCTTGGGCCTCTGCATAGTCATTCACATCAGAGTCGTGACAAGATCCTTTAAAAGGCAAAGACTGTTTTCCCTTCCCAAGCTTCGAAAGTTGCTCTCATTAAATCCCAGGGCTACTAACAACTGGCTAAACATTCACACAACTGGATTCTCCAGGGATGCGTTCACACTCTGGACGTTGCTCTGCTACAGCAGGCGCAGCATTGCTACTTAGGTTAGCAATTCCTTCTGCATCATTAAATGCCATGTATTAAACATTTGGGCCAAAATGTTTTGTGGAGAGAACAAGATGCTATTTGTGATTTATTCTCCATCTTCCTACATTTTATGCAAGGCACTAAAACTCCTAACACAACAAGGAAAGTGCTTAAATGAGGATATTTTGCATTTTTATGCCTTGCAACATCAGTGGTTTAATTCAAACTCACATAAGTAACAGTTGTTTATTTCATCGAAGATCAATTTCAGGGCAGGGCTTGATCTGCAAACTCCTGTTAAAAATTACCATGTAGCTCAATATTCTATACTAGTTACTAATCCTCTTTTAATAATTGGCATTTTTAGTACAGTATTTAGAACTGATATAGCAAAGCTCTTGGCATACATTATCTCAATAAGCTTTACAATCACTTTGTAAGGTAGGTTGATATTATCCTTTGAGACAGGCTTCAATCCTCTACACGCTTAACCTTGGAGGAGAGGACTGCACTCAGAGAGAGCTTATGGCAAGTTTTGGATTCTCCATCTGAACTATTATGTCATAGCAGCTGTGGAGACTGGCGATCGTTCCATGGCGTAATTCAGCTTAGGCTGCAAAAGAATTATAAAGCTGTGTTGTACAATGGCTAGAGAGTGTTAGGTTTGAATGCAGGGATCCCAATATCAAATCTCTGCTAGCTGTCAACCTCACTAGTTGGCTTTGGACATGTAACAAGGTTGCTTTGGGTGCAAATAATAGTCCTGAGTTCAGAGGAAAGGCAAGATACAAATATAACAAACACATTTCCACTTGCACTCCTTGTCCAACACATATATTCAAGAACACAGCTTCTTCCTCTCAGAAAGAATTTCAAAAAGTTCAAAAATATAAATTAAAAATTAGCTCCAATCTCAGCATGTACAGTACAATGTACTGGATCTACAGTAGTCACTTCTGCAATAAGCTATAGCCTGATCCCCGCAGGTACTGACTAACTTACTGGGCTTAAGTAGGAAACAGCAAAGATTTGCTAAATTAATGTTCCCAGACCCATGCTGGAAACCCTACCTGCATAGAGGGTGCCTCCCGCCCCCACATTAAGACTGAGCAGATCATGAATCATCATAAATGGGATGTTGCTAGCTTCATGAGTTCCTGCGGGTTCTGAACACCTGATTAGAACTATGGCAAGTAACCATATGCATCCCAGCCATGCTATGTTTACCTGAGGGAGGATTGCAATTAAGATCCATACCCAGAAGAATGAGGATGTGATACTTTTGTTTCAAGAACGTGACTTCCAATTTAGACAATCCTGGAACAGCTAATCAGATAATTGATATTTATATGCCACTGAAGACCAAAAGGTTGAAGCATGCCTAAGAACTGGAATAGTTATTCCCCGTGTTTACTTCTTCATTGTCTTCTAACAATTAAAAAAAAAGCATTCAAAAGATTTTGGAATTTTAAATATTTTACTTTTGTTTTTAAACATTTGATTATGCACAAAAAATAGCAAGCAAGATTTTAACATGCTGTTTCAGAATGCTACATTATTTCTCAAATCAAAATCAACAAAGACATTTTTAACCCCATAAGACTTGTAGCAGAGGAAAACCATCTATACTATCCACATTATCAATATGGCCAACACAATTCTGCCTTCTTTCCATGCAAGCACATTGGAGGCACTATCAAACACGATACCTGCAACATTCAAACACCAAATGTGTGCATCCACTAATGAAATCTGACTTCTCCAAGGCTAAATGTTGATTCTGTATATAAGAGACAGAAAATTTCCTTACGGAATTTGGCAATAATCCAGAACCATCCTCATGTGATCTTTGCAGAGCGTGCCAATACCCCAATATCAGCATGATGTCAGCTAACATAATCAACACATAGGCACGCAAGCACATCATCTCAGGCACACAATCACTAGAATAAATCACACGCAAGAGTGTTTCTCGACAGCAGTTGTTCAGAGACATATGCTGTATTAATTAAAATGTGTTACAGCAATGTGTTGAAGAACAAGGCAAGCTGTGGAGTAGTCAGCAAATGCCTCCTTTTACTGGTTAAAAAGAAAGTCACAAGTTTAGTAGGTGAACACTCTTGCTAAAAGAGAAAGTGCAAGACAAGGATGTGTTCTGTTCAGTTCATTTCCTTTGTTATCAGTACTCTCAATTCATGTTCATATATCTGTGCCAAAATAATTTAAAGTTCTGCATGCAAAAAAAAACCAGAACTTTTCAATAAATGTTGCTTGCAGTGTTTTGATGATCTGGATAAGAAGGACTCGTGATGGTTATATGGATTTTTCTACCTTGCAGCTTACGGTTGGATTACAGGGACTCTGAGTCCCTTCCAATGCTATAAATCTGTCTTTTCATATAGAAAGAAACCTCATATTTCTCACCTACCCTTTCCTCACCAAGCAGCTACAGTGCTAGGACACCAGAAAGATAGACAAAGGCTTCTCTAAAAGTAGTACGTACTGTATTTTTCCGTGTATAACACGCCCCCATGTATAAGACAACCCCTATTTTTTTGGACTGCAACAAAAGTCTGGGGTGGCATTCTAACATGCAGTTCACTTCCAGGAGTCTGAAAAGTACCATTTACTACACCATCTCACAAGTCTGCCACCTCTGCCCTCGACATTTTTAGGAGGAAGCCGAACAGATTTCCACTGGGTAGAAATCTTCAACACCAATAAGTGAAAAGGGCTACATTGAAAAATGAGTTTCCATAAAAGAAAGAGTTTCCATAAGCTTTTGCAAACTTCCCTTTACCACATACAAAGATCTTTCATTTTGAACCTACACACTGTGGAAAGCATCTAGTATGGAGGCCAGACATGCTGGCTATAATATCACAATGTGCAGTGAACATAATAGCATTGTAGCTATCAGCTGTGTTCAGTACTCCTGTTCAGCAGAGTTACATTATCATATCCACAGGAAATATGGAGCTTCTACAGAAAGAGGAGTATGCTTCATATCTAGGAATACATGCAGCCTCTTAACAGAGGACCTCAATGTGCTTCTTTATGCAGGTGGATTGGAATGGAGTCGGATGGAGATAGAAGCAGAGACACTTTGATATGCATAACTGCACAGTCTGTGCTAGGGTTTAAATTTCATCAGAAATGGTAATGTTAGGCCAGAATATCCCACTGAACCCATATGGAGATGGGGTGTAATACTAACTGTGCCGGTTGTGCCATGGAATTAAATGACACATGGAACAAAGTGGAGTTTTTCCAACAATAAAGCATTTATAATTCACAAGCTGAAAGGTGAGAAATTATGAATAGCTCAGAACTGGAAGAATGTGCAAGTTTTACGATTACATAATAGGCTTGCAAATACTATGACATAGCTGTTTTGCAGAATCTAATAAATCTTATGCATACAGGCAAGGAACCTCACAAGAAAAGCAGATTGCCTTTTTACTAGTGGGCTTGTTTCAGATGTTTGCATACATCCATAAGCAAGACATGGGAACTGTATCATTGCTCTAAAACAAGAAGCACCCCCAAACTGCCAACCTGATCCTTCAGGGGGAGTGCATCCCCATTCAGGGTAGGCAATTGGCTGGTTTCTCAGACACGGGAGACGCTTACCCAAAGTGCCTCTGCCTTGCCAGGATTCAGGCTCAGCTTGTTCTCCCTTATCCATCTCACCACTGTGCCCAGGCAGTGGCCCAGGGACTGCACAGCCTCTTCTGATTCAGATGTTATGGAGAAGTAGCAATGAGTGTCATCAGCATACAGATAGCACCTCACCCCAAATCAACTAATGATCGCACCCAGTGGTTTCATGTTAATAACACTGGTGATAAGAAAAGGAATGGAACCAGGCTCTGGATTCTGAACCAGAGGCTAATGGAAAAGAGCATGGAGAACCCGAGTCAGGAGCTTAGCAGGCACTTCTCCCTGAGCCCAATTCACCTGAAGAACCAAATACCTCCTGCTCCACACATGCCTGCCCACTGGCACAAGTATGCCAGGCAGGAGAGACCATCTGCGGCAAGGCATTTAAGAATTCACACC